TTATAAACAGACACATGTATATAGCCTCTCAATCAACTGGCCAAATTAAAATATTGCTGAACTGAGGACATCACACAATTGTGTTTACAGAATATAAACATATTTTTAATCAACTAAAACAATAATCCATTGGTGGCAAATACAACTTTGATCCTTCATAATCTCTGGACTTTCCCTGCTCTTCAGGATAGTGGGAAAAACATAATGGGGGTAATTTTCTAGTACTGAAAAGGAGCTTTCATCCAAATTGGCTCTTTTGTACATTTAATGTATGTTCTCGACTCAACAAGACGAGATGGATCTGCAATGGGTAGACTGGAAACATTTGAGACAGTTACCTAAAGTCATGGTTTGCTTTCACTGGCCTACTGTACCATAAGGCCTATGTTAAAGTTATAAATTATAATTATGTGTTGTCTACAAAAATAGCATATTTTATTTTTTAAAAAGAACCAAATCTCAATTGAAAAGTAATTTCACAAGAAAAGCAAATATGCACGTCTTTCTGAATAGAACCATAAAACTGTAGTTTTCATATGGATTCATTTAAAGTCCATCTCTACAGAGTGGCCATAGTTTAACCAACACATATTGGCCTTACATGGCTTTGTTCAAGGTGCTTTCTGAGCGTTCTACCAATGCTTTACTAAGAGCTTTACTCGTGTACCCACTACCATCTATTCAATATTGGTGAACTGTTCGGTACTATGCAGTTCTTCCCAAACCCTAATACTTTCCGACGGCCTGTTCTTATTTTCTGAACACATTTCATTGCATTGTTGGCTGAATGTTGACTTGTATTTGGCAAATACCTTTTTATCTGAGATAATATCTTAATCTAAGCTTCCAAATAGAGTCTGTTTAGATAAGAGGAGATTATTTCCCACTTGTGACAGATGGAACTTTTGACCTGTTTATGTGGTTTTTGATTTCTTGACAAACAATAAATATATAGGCACAGTATAACCTTATGCCCAATAGTGTATTGTATGTCTGTAAATTATGATTGTCAAAAATATAATTCTGGTCTGTTGTATGACGTTTGGTCATCTGCCGTGTTGCTTCTGCCAGAAGCCCATTCAGATGGAGCCCAGTCAGTCTTTAGTCCAGTAGCCTGGAGCATTGAGGCATTTCATCTGCTTCAGGGGGATTTGACCAAGATTTCCTGCTCCTTATTAAATTATAATCTCTTTTCTCCCTCTTCTTTCCTTTCTTTCTGTTCAAGACTGAAAAATATCAGTTTCCAGTAGTGTTTTGCTGCCAGCGTCTTGTTGTTCACATGGAGAGGCGCTAACAGACCCATTACAGATCTGAGGTGGGTCCACAGATCACATTCTTAATCAAGGTCTTTACTGTGCAGATGTTTAATCCTAAATTGTATGTTTTGGAACTTCTGATAACTTTTCAGACTTTGCAAGTCCATTTATAGGAATTGTATCTTTAGGCCTCAAAAGTGTCAAAATCGGACCATACTGATAGTGATAGAATAAAACCATGGACAGTATGGGCTTGTTCTGTAGGATCGGACGCTCCATCCATCACAAACGTTTCATGACAGAATGCATACATCAATCAGGTGAGAATTATGTAAATCATTAATCGTATCAAAAAGTGCTCAGCTCCTTTTATTTTATTTGAGTTTGGATATTATTTTCTGGTAGATTTTTCAATATGTTTATTTATTGAATACATTTTGAATTAAACCAAAACTGGGCAGGTAAATAAAAATATAAAAAGCACTACACCACTAAAATTTTTTATTGTGGCCAAATCCAGCCTGGATCGCCTGATGTGAATGGTACAACAATTCTACTGTGTTTCCATCTTGGATACAGGATGGTACATATAGTTTTTTGCAATTTGATCGCTCAGATCATGTCATTATATAATGTACTCCAATACTCTATGATACCTTTGACACACTACGACAACTTAATTCCGGCCTTTTGACCTGTCGAAGTCACAAGGAATGAATAGCATCTCAATTGTTGTGAATTGTTGTTCTTCCTATTCCTCTTTGAGTGGTATTATTTACATTAATCCATGTCACATATTTATTTTACACTTTGTCAACTGAAGGCTGCATTAATACAAGCCAACAGCAGATGTTCAGTGGGTGGTTTCAGTATTATGCTGTGTTCCATGCTATTAGGTACTGATGGGTTAGTGCATGAAAGTACAGGATTAATCAAGCATTCATTACATATTAAACAAGTAACGACAGCGGAACACTGTTAACAAGGTCAAGTCAAGTTTACATCAAATATCCACTTTTGCCTTACAGGAAGGTTACTGCTTGAACAGTTCTACATAGTTCAGAAAGGAGGTCTGGTCCTTCATCCGTTTCACTATTAAATCCATTGTTTTTGATTTATTAAAACCCTACTACAAGATAATCTGATCTTCAACCACTTACAATAAACTTTCAGATATTTTTTTTAATCGTTTGTCCCATCAGCACTTTTCAATAACGCCTACTTTAATAACATGATGCTTACGGAATTGTGTGTTTTCTCTGGGTTTTCTTTATAGAAATGACTCCTCAAAGTTGTTTTCATACATACTCGGAGCAAATAGATTAAAAATACAATCGTTGTGTGAATTTGAAAGGGAGTTGGAAGCAGGTCTGTGTATGAAGTAGTGGATTTTTTTGTGTGTTACCCAACAATTATTCAAAAACGACCCATAGAAAGTGTGGACTATTTTAACTTTTGTATTTGTTGATGAGCTTTTGATTCGTTCATTGAGATTTTATGATGCATTGATTGGTCCACTTTGAAATGGTTTATCTTCACTGTGAGGACTAATGCAAGGGCCCAGTCCAGATTTTTGTGTTAGGATAAACTTATTCAGAAGTTGTTATGCACCATTTTCATTGTACATTAAATAGCTTGCACAAAAGAGACTGCAACCTTTTTTAGCATGTTTGCAGCACACTTCCTGCCTTTTTTTGCACAACCTGAGTGATTCTATCTATTCTATCCAAATAATACATGCACATTTCTCCATGGTGAGATCAATAAAGTTCCAATACCAATCTCAAAACTCATGAACATGCACTCCTGTCAGATCACAGCTAACCTGATAGAATTTAACTTTTTTCCCTGCCAGTATAACTACAGAACAACAGTGTATAAGTACAGCTTCTGCTTGAAAAACCAATCTTTACTGACATCACGGATACCATGTCTAACAAATGTTCCTTGATCTGCATCATTTAGCATCAGTGCATTCCAGGCTAGAGGCTACTATCTTTCTAAGCCCAACACATTGACTGATATTAATAAATTTTTGTTCCTTGCTTTCAAAACCATTTGATTCTATCCCTTGTTTTTGTCTTTAGATCAGCTTTTTCCAACAGCAAATGGAAGAAGTAGCTCCCTCATCCAATCAGCTCAAAGCGTCACAAAGGGACTCCCAGTGATCTTCATTACAAATATACAAAAGATAACATATTTTCTAGTAAGATGAACAAAGTATGTCGTGGCTTGATTTGTTCACAATATTTTACTTTTATAAACTTCTTTCTCTTGGGCAAAAATAAGTGATTTGAAGTGATTTATGAAAAAAACCCTGCTTTAACTGTTCTCTATATCTATAAAAAAGTGACGTGCGAGAGACTTGAAGAGCCAAAGTTCACCTGGCTTCCCCTGGACACAAGCTGCAGGCAGTTAATCCCCTCAAACTGCCCTGACGCAGGACCTGCTGACTGGGCCTTCTGCATGTTCTCCTTCGTTAAGACTTTTATTTGAGTTGTTCCATTGAAGAGCAGCGTAAACGTTTCTTCTGCAACAAAACTTGAGTCCAATCCCTATTTATCACCAATACTACTATTAGTATTAGACTGAACGATTGGTGTTGGTCCAAGGATTCTGTTCATAACAAGAATAGAATCTTTTAAAATGGAAGAATAATGGACATTTCAAAGGCAACTGTGTGTGTCTTAAGAATTTGTTGTCATATTTTCTCAACCGATTGATCTATTTCCATTCAATGCCTGTTTGAAGTTTTCACCTTGGTTGCTAATGTATTGAAAATGTAACAAAAACAATTCGTAATCTGAGAAATCCTGCTGTTTGGGTTGAGCTGTCGGAGCCATGGTGTGGTGCCTGCGTATGTACTTGTATAGGCATGGATCGCATGTAGCAGAGATTTGGCATGTGTGTGTTCTGTGCGTGAGTTTGTAGTTTTGCACTCACAGTGGCTCATGGACGCCAGCCGTAGAGGATTGCACGAGATTTTTAAACAGTGTCTGCAGAGCTTTTCAGGGAAAATATTTGATAAACAGATTGTGGAAGTCTGTGAAATGCCTGGCTTGGTCTGATCTCCATTAAAGCACAGCTGCTGTTTGGAAATGTGTTTCCTGGGCAATCTGAGCCTAAAGGGGCATCTATGACTGAGATTGCACAAACAAACAAACACACAAACAGACTCACCCTTGGCTTCTTCACTGCTCATTTAATCACTAAGAAATGATTGTAAGTAAGTAAGTAAGTAAGTAAGTAATCTTTATTTATATACCGCCTTTCACAGACCAGAGTCACAAAGCGGTTTACAATTGTTATTTTTGGGCACTTGTCCTCTCACTCCACACAGAGATGGGAGCGGGGTCGCCGAACAGGAGGCGCATGCCAATCCTATTATACATATTTTTAGTGGTAGGGGAAACCGGAGTACCCGGAGGAAACCTACGCAGACACGGGGAGAACATGCAAACTCCACTCAGAAAGGCCCTGGTCCGGCCGGGATTCGAACCCAGGACCTTCTTGCTGAGAGGCGAGAGTGCTATCCACTCAGCCACCGTGCCGCCCAAATTGTGATGAAGCAAAGGCGTGAAATATGTTTGCACAGGCTCTATCTAAAATCAAGTCTAGTTTTTTATTCACACTACTTTTGATCAAAAACATATTTCACACTAAACTAATCAAATAAACACTAAACCATGTGTCAACCTCTTTCACTTTATGTATTTTAAGCAAAGATTTCTTGTCTCTTTCCAGTTGTGTGTGACATTCAAACAGCTGCCAGGCTGGAGACAATGCTGTTTGGTCATCTCTGTGTGCTTCTGATGCTGTGGGGCTGTGCTCATGCAGGGGGCTACCCACCTATAGCCCACATGAAGTACATGCAGCCCATGATGAAAGGGCCTGTCGGACCTCCATTTCGAGAGGGAAAAGGACATTATGTTGGTAAGAAATTTGTGCACGAATATCCTGAAATCTCATAAAACAACCAGCAGAAAATGCTTTGTTCAGTTCAGTTTTATTGTCCTTTAATAAAACAACAAACAATGTAGGAATTCTGAGTAAAGCCCCTGCTCCTTTCTCCTACTTACTGCTCACTGTTTCTGTGCCTTGTGTGGGTTGTTGCCTGAACATCTCAACACCCGAGGGCGCAATGTACACTTCAAAGTCACAGGCAAAGCGAGTACTGCTCTCTGCTGGTTGTTTTAGGTTAGTGCAGCATGTTATGCCATTAATGTTTTACAATTAACATGCACTAAGAACTGCACATGGGTTATATTCGTAATTAATCTCTCCAGTTTCATCATATTAAGAAAATACAGTGTAAATAAAGTATTCATTTGAATTAGTCTTGTTTTGTTCTAATACAATTCCTTTACATATCGCTTTCATCTTCTAACATTTAAATACAATAGAACATAAGAAATATTACATTTCAATGAGACTGAAAGCCTAAAGGCTATGGTGTGATTTCCAATACAATAAAACCTGTTTTAGAGGCTCAGCAGTTTAATAGTTCGGGATTTTTAAATATATAATATTGTGGGAAGCCTATTTTGAAAGAAATATTATCATTAGGCCAGTACAAGACAGTAATTATTTGGTATTTTTTCATGGTTGAGTAGTTGGAAAAGAAGGTCTTGGGTTCAACCTGGCATGGGGCTGCATGTCTCCCCACGTCTGTGTAGTTTTCCTCTGTGTGCTCCGGTTCCTCTTACTCGACCACTAAAAATATGTACAATAGGCTTCTGTACAATAGAGATTCTGAAAACTTAGTGGGATTATTTCCTTGTTAAATGAAGAAATACAAATAAAACAACTGATAATAATAATAACCCCTTAAAGATCCAATGAATCAGCAAAGACACAAATGGATTTTGATCATCATGTCGTCTTTATGTTTAAGGCTTACAAGTTTATTTTTTGTAAGAAAATAAGTTTAAGGAAGCGAGGAATGCTTCACTATTGGATATCTTATCATCAGTGAATGATCATTTATAACCATCCATGTTCTGGAAAAGGGAATGATCCAAAATAAAGACTTATTTAGAGTCAAATAAAAGATTCATAGAATATTTTGGACCGTGTTGAAGTCCAGACTTACAGATTTGGAATACAGGAAGTGCATAAGTACTTCTGTAGAGGTACTTATGCACTTATACTTATGTGAGGAACAAAAGGTCCAGGCCGAAAACCCCTAGACCCCTGTACCCAAACTCTAAACTTCGACAAGAAAAAGTGGGCAGAGTTTGGTCTTCTCATTTATCTGTGAAACTTTATCAGTAAGTAAGTAAGTCAGTAATGTTAATTTATATAGCACATTTTACAGACCAAGGTCACCCAAAGCGCTTTACAATGTTCAGAGTTCAGATATTGTTACAATCATTCCACACACGGTGATGACGGAAGCGAGTTGCCGAACACACTGGCGCATCCGCCCCCAATCAACACCATCCATTCACCTATTGTGCATGTTTTTAGAGGTAGGGGAAACCAGAGCACCCGGAGGAAACCTACGCAGACACAGGGAGAACATGCAAACCACTCAGAAAGGCCCTGTTCTGACCGGGATTCGAACCCAGGACCTTCTTGCTGAGAAGTGAGAGTGCTATCCACACAGCCATCATGCCGCCCTATAAAAATAATTATAATACTGTAATTCAAAATGTATCTAGTGATGATATAGAGAGAGGATTGGTGCCGTGTCCAACGGTGAGAGTCAACGTGCCTTCAGTAAATTTGTTTGAAATCTAACAGTAAAAATAGTATCCTTCAGAGTCCTTCAATAATACTGTACTTCCATACTGTAAAAAAGAAAGCATGATTACACATTTACACGTGCAAAAGTTGATATAAACAAACTTTCCATTTCAAAAATATTGGAGTCCATACAGCTTAAAACCTTTGCCCTCTGACTAGCTCTCTTGTTATTATTGCAGCCCTCATTCCTAAATGAGTTTGACGTCAATGATGCAGCTGGTGTTGGCAAAGCTCTAGACCTGTCACTCTACATTTACAAACTTACCTATTGTCATGAGCTTTGGGGAATGACCAAAAGGAGAAGATTGCCAATAAAAGCGATTGAAATGAGTGGCTTTGTGCTCAGAGATAGTGGCACCGGCCTGTATTTCAGATGAGGCCCCCCTCTGGGCGTGTTCTGGGCATCTCCCACCAGGAGGAGGCCCTTGAAGATTTCAATGACTAATGAGTAAAAAAAAACATACAAATTCAAACAAATTAAAATGTTTTCCTTTGTTTAACCTGGATAGAAGATACTTGAAAATACTATGCATAGTATCACAAAGACACATCAACAACTACTCATGTCTAGCGATAAAATAGCAGCTGATGAAAGTCATCTGTAGAGGCCCGCCCGAAACCCAATAGGAGCTCCTTATATTTGGAAGAAAAGATTTATAGCATGTATTTTGCCCTTTTGTGATATATAATCTTTATGAATATAACCATTTCATTAATATGCATTTCAACAATATAACATAGAAACAATAATTGGATTTTGGAAGAAAACAATGAAAAAATACTAAATACTTCTTTCACCAATGACAATCCCTATAGCAACCACTTCATTTTGATGAAACTAATGTATAGGACTTTGACACAAAGACAGAATACAGTATTATATATTACAAAAACTATAATTTTTCAAATATCAAATCATCATCAGAACACAGGTGGAACTTCTACTACACTCTGACATTCAGACGATATACTGTGTGTTGGATTATTTATTTACTTAAGTTCCTACAGCATTGTAGAAAATCTAATTATGGTTCTTCTTTCCCCAGACATGCCACCTATGATAGAAGTCAAAGGGGAGCCAGGCCCCCAAGGAAAGCCAGGACTAAGAGGTCCACCTGGGCCTCCTGGACTGACAGGAAAGCCTGGACTGGGAAAACCTGGAATCAACGGACCCCAAGGCCCTCCTGGCCCACCCGGGTTTCCGGGGATTGGAAAGCCTGGTCTGCCTGGTTTGCCTGGAAAACTTGGACCAAAAGGGTTTTCCGGGGAAAAGGGAGAAGTTGGGCCTCGTGGTGAACCAGGTCCTCGTGGCCAACCAGGACAACCTGGTTTGCCTGGTCCTGCTGGCCTGTCGCTGAGTGGTAAACCAGGACTTCCGGGTACTAGAGGTCCTCCTGGAGGAAGAGGTGAACCAGGGCTACAAGGCACCAGCGGATCGCCGGGTGAACGTGGACTTAAAGGTGAAGATGGAATTGGAAAGCCAGGACCTCCAGGAATAAGAGGCCCCTCAGGACTTAAAGGGAACATGGGACCACCTGGACTCACTGGCATTGGAAAACCTGGGCCAAAGGGATTACCGGGACTGTCTGGTGTTAAAGGTGATCAAGGACTGCCTGGAGATCAAGGAGAACCAGGAGAGCCTGGGGACCCAGGTCCTCAAGGTTTACCTGGGCCTGGGGGTTTGGGAAAACCTGGAATTGATGGTTTACCAGGGTTGCCAGGTCCTGTTGGCCCCAAAGGTGAATCAGGGCTAAGAGGTCTTCCTGGATTCCCAGGAACTCCTGGGTTTGGAAAACCAGGTCTAAGTGGACAGAAAGGAGACAAAGGTCACAATGGATTGCCTGGTCTCCAAGGTGACAAAGGAGAGCCAGGAATGATTGGACCATCTGGAGAACCTGGCCTTGATGGACAACCAGGACCATCCGGTCTAACAGGCCCGATGGGTCTTCCTGGAAAACATGGCCTTCCCGGGCTCAAAGGGGAACTTGGTCCTCAGGGTCCACCAGGATTACCTGGTCTTAGAGGTGACAGTGGAAACAGTGGGCTCCCAGGAAAGCCTGGGATTCCTGGAGAAAAGGGCCACCCTGGTTTCAGCGGACCAATCGGAAAACCTGGCCCGAAAGGTGAGCCGGGTAACGCTGGTTTAACTGGAAATCCAGGTCCAGCTGGCATTCCAGGACCTAAAGGGGAAGCAGGATTTATTGGCACTCCAGGACCAAGAGGCCAGTCAGGAATACCTGGTCTTCAAGGGCCTATGGGTCCGATGGGGCCACAGGGCATACCTGGACCCAAGGGTGAAGCTGGACTTCCAGGACCTGTAGGAATTGGTAAAATGGGTGAGAAGGGACCCATTGGTCCACAGGGTCCTCCGGGAAAACCAGGTCCTGCAGGCCTTAATGGCAACCCAGGTCCTCCAGGGCCACCAGGGCCTCCAGGGCCTCAAGCAAATGGGCAAACCGTTGTTGCTGGTCCCACGGATTCACAGTTAGAAGGAGATGAAGTTCCTGGAGACAGGAAAGGACCTGCATACAGCCAGGTGCCACTCTCGGCCTCTGTAGCACCAGCCTTCACAGCCATCCTGACCACACCATTCCCTCCTTCTGCAATGCCAATTAAGTTTGACAGAACTCTATACAATGGACAAAATGCCTATAGCACATCTACAGGCATGTTCACTGCACCTCTCTCTGGAATCTACTATTTTGCTTACCACATGCATGTAAAGGGAACTAGCTTGTGGGTGGCTTTGTATAAAAACAATGTACCAGCTACCTACACCTATGACGAATACAAAAAAGGCTACATGGACCAGGCGTCTGGTAGTGCAGTCCTGGAGCTCAAAGAGGCTGATCAAGTGTGGATCCAGATGCCCTCTGATCAGGCTAATGGCCTCTATTCTACAGAATACATACACTCGTCCTTCTCAGGTTTCTTGCTCTGTCCCACATAACCCGATCTTTTGTTGTCAACTTGTCATATATGTCACCTCAAAGCAACCGAGTACAGCCATAGTTAAATGTTATAGCCATTTTAAACTACACAAATCTATACATTAAGCAGCACTTCAATTAAAAATAATTTATAAGGTTTTAACCAGTGTTTAGTTATTACAAAGCAGGTGTTAAGAATCTGGTGTGTTTTGCCTGAGAATATAGTTGGGTTGGAGTAAAGCGCAAATTAAGTTAATAATTTTGGCATTAGTGTCTTTAAGTGTGTATTGTATTTTTTAGATTCTTGTGATATTTTTGAATGATTATATTGCCAAATGTTTTTTTTTACTGTATGTGATGATGTGATTGTTTGTGTTTTCAGACTTGTCAAAGTTCTAACATTGTAATGTGCTAGTAACATACATTCCCATGTGACTGCACATCCTGTCCACATGCTTTGACACCATAAGAATTACATAACTGAGACTTAAGTTAAAGGCATGAAATGGTTTATTTCATTGCAGTCAGTCCTTCTGTATTCCTGCATTACATTGGACACAAGGAGGACTATCCATACAAGCTGTATGGGTTATTATTGGAATTGTATTTTTTTTTTACTATTGTTTTTAAAGTCACATACTTCTGGGTGGGAACTCCAATACATACAGAATTTATTTAAAAAAAGGTATTAATAGATAGACAATTATGTTATGTTAGGCCACACTTCAGAACAGTTTGAAATCCTCTTTATGTGCATCTCTGCAATCATAGATTGATGGGAACATAAGCATTATTTGACCGTCAATGGGACATCTGTGTAAACAGGAACTAGTTAGGGGAAACTGCTTTTTTGTTCATAGATAAAGGGATTTGGTCTGCAGGTAGCATTTTCTTGTTTGGTTTTACAAAAAAAAAGTTGTTTTGTCTATTTGTTCATTTCCATTTAAATGTAACCCTTCATTCAGTTCTTTCAGTCAGCCAGACAGGCCTATGTTTTAGAGACAACGCTGTAATCAATGTTAAACAAATCTAAATTTTAGGGACCCTTGTAGCCAGAATGAATGAATGTATTCAGTCACAAAACTGTGTTGCGTTTATACATTCTGTAAATAATAAAAAGCGGTGTGTAAGAAATAAATTAATATTCACATTGAAGATAATTTTATATATCCATGTTGTTCTAATGAGCAAGAAGATTAAAAGACCGTTTAAACATTATTGTGTAATGTGTTGCCATTTTAACAATTAGCACTTTGAACAGCTGGATGTACCATTTTTAGGTTTTCATGGTTTTCATAGAAAATATTCCCTCAATGTTCCAATGAGGCGACAGTCGCTCAGTTGGTAGAGCATTGGAGATCGTGGGCTAAAACCCACCACAAGACCTTCTCCACTAACTCCAACTCATGTCTGCTGTCGTTGTGTCCTTGGCAAGACAGTTAACCCCACTTTGCCTGAAGCCCCTGCTGCAAGATCAAGGCTGTGACAGAGCCGCCATCCTCCTGTGGACTCACCACCTGCAGGAGGGTCAGTGAGGGGCTGGTGCTCAAAGACCAGGGTGGCAGGTGATGGCCACCCCCCCAACCCAGAAATGGACAAAGGGGAAGAAGATGGATGGATAGAATGTTCCCAATGTGGACTTTAAACAAAGGTCAAACCGTTTTTCATCGCATTCGCACATGAATCAGATGAAAATGTATTTATAAATGATAATTTAAAAGTCATTGTGACCCCCAAAAGCTTTGAACGTACAAGCAAACATATTGCAGTGATGCATTAAAACCAGAGAAGTACGAGTGCATCAATAGTTCTTGTCAAAGGCCAAATAAACCATTAGAAAGACAACATCGAACATACACAAATGTATCACAAAACATGTCCGTGACAGAGGGCTCATAAGAATGGATTTGAGTACTTGGTGGGCTCTAAAAAGGACCCCTAAAGTCACAGCCGTAACTTTAGCTTTACTTAAAGGTATACATAAAGTACTGTATGATCAATTTGTCTTTTGTTTTACTGAGCACTATTGTTGAAGAGTTTTGCTTGTGTCTGGGGACACTGTATCAGCCTATGATCTGGGTATTGACTATTTCTTCCCAAGAAATAGAGTTTAGGTTTGTGTGCACTCTTTTGATTAGACTTTTGTCTGCATTTATGTCATCTGCAATACTTGATTGTATAAATATCATATCAATAAATTACAGTCCTAACGTTTGTGTGAGACCTTCATTTCTAGCATTGTCTCCTGCATATTTAAATGGCATTTTTAGGAAAATCACCAGTCCTGGATAATTCTAATGAAAAGTTAAATTCTTGAAATACTGTATGTTTAGTGCCATGTTCAAGAAGATTTTGGCCAAGTGAGGAGCATGTAAACAAAGAGAAGGAGCCCTCCTCCAGGATAGCCATGAGATTAAAGCCATTCACAGTTTTGATACTCTGATCTACTCACTCAGGGCTGTATAACATCAAAAGTTAAATCCATGGTATTGTATTATTTTAGTAGCCTGACTCCCCTAATGTTGGTAACAAACACTGCAGCTACACACCCTCAGGCCCATAGGCCCTCTGCATTATATTAGTTATTTTTTGTCAGTCAAATATAAAGTATAACCATCAACCACCTGTTTCAAGTCAAATCAAACATTCTGGAATGAATCAGAACCCTAACCCTAACCTTAACTCACAAGTGAAATGGAGTCCAAAACGCTAAAAAGTACTTGCAACTTTATTACAAGTCCCTAACCTCATTTTCAGAAGAAAATGGGAACTTCATAAAGGCTCTAGCCATTTATTGAACGCCAAAGGGTAAAAATTGTTTAAACGCGACACTTAACTGATATTTGGCATTGATTTAGGGAGAATAGAAAGTGCTGTGTTACCATTTTGACTTTTTATAGACAATGCCACTTTTTCATAGAATTTTCCCAAAGTAGATTTTTAACAAGTAAATTTTAAGTGTTAATACATTTGGAACACAAAATAATGAAAAATCTAAATAAATCAGAAACTGTACAGGTTCATATTTACAGTATATGGTTAAGCTCCATACACCAGAGGTATCTTTGGAAGTCGCTGGTATATTGTATTATAGCCTACAAGAACAACCAAAATGTAACCACCAAGGCATTCTCAAAGCAAAGACAGAAAAATACAAGGAGCATTATTAATTATATTTGATTTGTTGAGTAGAGTTGATTGTGTTGGGCTCATAGACTATTTATTAAGTTGGGCTAGGTTGCTCTCCAAGTATTTTCTGGAACTATCGTCACCATGGTGAGCTGTCATCATAACCTCACAAGTCTTACGTGGAACTGACGACAGCCGTTGTGTTCTGAGAGTGCTGCGTTAAGTGAACATACACATAAGCGTAAACGGCTTGTATTAACCATACATATTTAATTCATAACTCCAGAGAACATATTTTTTGTGTACATACGTGATATCTGTTTGTTTTTAGTGAATGTGTTCGAGTTTTTATTTTTTTTTATAAAGCAACTGTGTGAACAAATACACCGATTCGTGCACGTCGATACTGCCATTTCCGACTGAGCGTAAAGGTTTGGTCTCGGTGACGCGAAGACTCCTCCCCACAACAGATTCCTCCAAGCTCCACCATAGAGAAGGGAGGCTGCCACAGTGAAGAGGAACAAAAAGGCGACCTGACAACGCTTTCTACACTCCCTCCACTTTCTTCGGGGTAGTCACGGGATTTCAATGTTCAGTCTGCTATTTGTAAGTAACCGAACTTTGAATCTAGGAAGGTGCTATATCTTAAAGTATATGTATTTGTTTTTGCTAAGACCGTTACTAATACCTGTAGCTAGCTGAAAGTTGGTTTTCGTCAGCCTTTTGGCCCGACACAGAGTTGCGGATAAACTGAACATATCGTTACCGCTGATCACTTGGCCCTTTATAAGAACAGGGCAGACTGTCAATATCCACTCCTCTCCGGTGTCCCCTTGCTTTTCCGAACCGTCAGTCCGTGTGTTCCTTCGTTGTAAGCCCTGGCAAAGAGGTTGTTATAAGATTAATCTAAACAACGACCTGCTATCTTTTTTTCTGTTAGCATGCTAGCTAAGTTGCTAGGCTATCTCTTTTCTCAGAGCCAAGAATCTTTGGTTCAATTTTGCGATGATATAAGTTAGATCGAACGACATGATGGGTATATAACTTATATATTAAAAGAACAATAATTGCGTCATTGTTTTATGTAGTTTGCCGTTTGGTATTTATCATAAAGCCATTTGTAGCCTGTGCTGAAAATGAGCCCTTGTGATATTGTAGCATGTCCCAATTCTCAGTGCAGGTAATCTGTTATCCGGGGTTAATATTTGGACAACCGTAGACACTAAAGGGACACAGCACAACTTGGATCTTTAATTAACAAC